CGCAGCGCCGCGTCCCTCCCGCGCGGCAGAGCGGCATTCGCGGCCGGTGGAAGAAACGATTTTTGGGCGTAACAACCCTGGTGAAGGACCGGTAGGTTCTAACTGGAGCCATTGTCTGCCCCACGTGTAGGCCTTAGTAAGGTTTCGTTTTTCTCATGTATTTGATTCCTCCTAGGCCGAGCGCGACAAGGTAAGGTAAACAAAGAAGCGAGGTGAAAACCTGAAGCCAGGTCATCAATATAACAATTTCATTCTGTAGTGTATCAACCACTTTTGTTTAAAAGGACTTAAAGACAATTTACACGTGAGGGAGGATAATTAACTAGACAGTTTACTAGCAGTGACCTGCTTCCGCTGATGGGTGGTGCTGGTATCAACAACTATGTGTTACCCATCATGCCTGCTGCAGCCTAATTTGTGCAGGGGTAGGCAATTGCAGTGTTGAAATAGTGTTAGAGGTGGGAGGCATACGGTGAGAAAATAGTGCTGTATACTGAACACAAGGAAGTAGATCTTTTTTTTTTTTTTTTTTTTTTTTTTTTTTCTTTCCTTTATGGAATTCTCCTACAGGTATCCGTGTCCTGTAAAAATGAAAAACTGACAGCAGTCTTCCACCTGGAATAACCTGTGCTGCTTAACATTAGTTGCTATAGATTAGACTTACCATGGAATGTGAAGGTTCCAACTGCCTGCAACAGCAAGAATTTCACCTATATCTTAGTGTCACTGAGAGGTCACATGGATGCTTTATTAATCTGATTTTTTTTTGACCTGTATAGCAGTATAGGAAAGTGGAAACAAATAGGTAACAGCTTAATCAAAAGGGGCTGAGAGAACAGGCTTTAACACAGATTAGTTAAATTAACTTTTATTGAAGTTATAACACAGTGCCAGCATACACCTTGATTCTGCATCTCTGATTAAATAAATAGCTGTAGTTTCCTTTTGGGCCATGTGTAGTTATCAGAATTGCTCTAAACTGGAACGCTGTTATCAGCAAAGACATGAGTGCTCTCTCTTTTTAAAGATCACCATGCAAGCTCCTTTTTTCCTGATTAGATAATGTTATGTAGGTTTTCAGTTTAGTGTTCTGTTGGGTTTTTTTTTTCTTTGTTAGACTTCTTAAAATATGTGGGGAAAATCCATTTTTACATAACATGTAGCTTTATGGAAAATGATGCTTTGGTACTGGTGGGTAATTTGCCCTATAAGACCTGTGGTTTTTGTTCTTTACGCTTACTGTGGTTTAGAATATTTGGCTTGTAATATTAATGTTCTATTTTTGTTTTATTTGTTCCTTACCAAACTTTATCTCTTGATTGTATGCAGAAGTACGGAGTATTTCAAGATAATCAGTAGAGAAGTAACTGCAGATACAAAAAAGGAATCTTACTCCAGTACAAAATGGAAAGTTGTGATCTCCGTAAAGCTTTGTGTGTAAAGCTCTCTTAATGCTGTAGTCCTAAAGAGCTAATTTAGATGCTGAGTTCTACAGAAACAGAGCTTTTGAAAAATCTGCTCTAAGAACAGTGTTTCAGTTGTTTGTGGTTGCATCACTGTAGCTTTTTTATACGTATAATGAAAAATGTAAGACTGTGTACCATGTAATTTATTAACATCTGTCCCCTGATTGTTACTGGTGGGTGTGGAGGTGGAATGGGGGAAGAGTTGAGGTCTTTACTGTCAAAACCTCGAATTATAGGAAAAGTCTCTGCCTGTCCTGTTATTTGCTTTGATACTCTAAAGTATAAGCAAAAGAGATGAAGTACTGCTGTAGAAAAAGTGATGGTCTTGAGAGTCACAGTACTGGTCAAAAAAAGCATTCTGAAAAATTTTCTGGAGATTTGGCTGTACTTATTCCCCCTACTGTTCTAGAACAATGAAGTTAAAGAAAAGCAACGATCTGTAGATTTCTGCACGTGTAACTCATATCCTTAGTTCAAAGTGAGATGAAATCTTCCATTATTGATAGGTAAGGAAGAAAAAAATGATTGTGAGGACTGACTGATACGGTTGAATGAGAAGCTGAGGCAGCCATTTTGTTGTTAATGTATTGCTGTGACTGAGGTGAAAGGCAAATGGGTTGAAACTTAAATTGTCATATTGTAGGTTTTGAGTGTGTTCTGTAGAGTAAGTAATTTTAATGAAAGCCCGATGTGAATCTTCCTTTAAGTTAATGAAAACAAGCAGGAAAACTAGTTCTAGCTATTGTGTGCTATAGTTGTGTTTAAATCCAAGTGTAGTTAATTTATGCATACAGCAATGTCAGGATTTTTTATGTAGCATTTCAATCTGAGTGATTTCAAAACACTCATTTTCTCACCTTGCTTTATTAGGGTTTTCTTTCTTCCTGAGGACAGTACTTGAGTTTCTCAGAAAAGAACTGATTAATCAAAATTTAAACTAATTTTGTACCTCTTTCAACTAGGCATACAGAAAGCTGGCCAAGGAGTACCATCCTGATAAGAATCCAAATGCGGGGGACAAAGTAAGAGGTTTTTTTTGTTTTTTTTTTTTAAACTCCTGAAGTTTGCTATTAGAGTGGCATCCAAGGGACAGGTGTTGGGGACTTGCTGTTACAAGTTGTTCAAAAATAATAACTGTGAGAGGGAACCCAACCCTACTTCTTCCTAATCTCAAAATCTACCAGTGTACCTCATGGAAAAAATGCAGCAGTTGGTTAAGTCAAATTGGTTGAGAAGGTAGTGCTGAGGGAAAAACTGCCTCTCTTCATCTGCTGAAGTGATGACAGCTGGCATTGGCATCTACATAGGTATTAGAAAAAGACAGAGTCAGTTTTCCAAGTTTTTCCAACATAGAAAAATATATGTGTGGAGGTTCTTGAAACTGCTGCAGCATGTAACAAATTACGTATGTGGGAAGGTTGAATTAGGTTTGTTATGCTAATAGCAATTAAAAAAAGTCAATTAAGTTGATTCAGCTCATTCTGTTTAACAGAACTGAGGTTCTGATGGTTGTTCAGAGGTGAGCAGAGATGACTATGAAAAGATGTTCATTTGTTTTGAGGACAAACGCATTAATGTGCATTTTAGAAGTTGCTCAACTGTTAGCATATTTTAAGTGCCTAACATATCTTGAAGTCTTTGCCATTAGTATGTAACTGGGGGGGGGTTTTTGACTGTTGGCTACTGCAATACTGCGTAATTGAGGGTTTTCTTCTTTGGTTGGATTTTTTTTTTGTTTGTAAGAAAACTGTCTTATGCTAGGCACAGCAATGAATAAAGTCAACAGAGTTTTGCAATAAAATGCCTTGTTTTATGATAAGAGGTGACACAACTAAGCCCAAGTCTGACTTTTAAGTCTTGCATATTAGAATGAGGGTGGAAAACCGAACTGTTCTGTACCTTCTTAATTGGGTGTTCATGCTGGGCAGGAAACTCCCTTGAAGTTCTAAATTATCGTGCACTGTTTTGACTCTGTTCCTCTTCTAGTTCAAAGAAATAAGCTTTGCCTATGAAGTATTGTCAAATCCAGAGAAACGTGAGTTATATGATAGATATGGAGAACAGGGTCTCCGAGAAGGTAGTGGTGGAAGCAGTGGAATGGACGATATTTTCTCCCATATCTTTGGTGGTGGATTGTTCAATTTCATGGGTGGTCAAAGTAGAAGTCGTAATGGTAGAAGAAGAGGAGAAGATATGATGCATCCACTCAAGTGAGTATCTTAATACTGCAGTGTGTACTTTCAAGCTTTCCTGATCAGTACTTGACCCTGCTAGTTCATATTCTTGATATGCTTCTCAGTCTGCACCTACTTTTCAGACCTGCATGTTGTATGTAGCCCAGAAAGCAGGCATCTTGAGTTACTTTTCATGATTGGTTAATCTTATGGACTACTTAATACTTTGCTTTGCCTGGTTATTAGCCTGTATATACTTTATTAGTATTATTTTCATTGCTTTTGCTCCTTAATTATGTTTGGAAGTTCTAATCTGAAAAAGCACTCAACAACCAAGTACTACTTGCTGGCTGGATTCTTAGGGCAGCAGAGACACTAAGGCTCTGGAAAGACTTAAGTTGACTTGCATTCATAGCATAATACCAGCTGGAACTGAAGGTGAACTGCATAATTAATGGAAAAGTGTGTGTGGTGGGTTTGGTTTTGGTTGGTTGTTGGTTTGTTTGGTTTTTTTTTAAAGCCATGTTTGCATATCACATCTAATTGTGTTTTGTAGATACCTGCTTGCAGTCATGACTGGCTTTTTGCCTGCTGAGCAGGTCCTAAGTTCTTAAAGTTAAGCTGCATCTTTCCTGTGGTTGGCAAACTGCTTAGCAAAGTCTGTTTACTTTTACATGCTTGCTTAGTTTAGTAGCTAGTACTGCAGGCTATATTATTAATTAGCTTTGGCTTTGTTGTTATTTGTAAACACTGGTGCCAGGCAACCTTTTCTCAATGCATTCAGTTGAAGTTTTTATGTGCTAACAAACCCTTTTAGGAGAAACACTAAATGTGTTCATAAACTTCTATCAATATATGAAGGTTTTTGGAGTGTGATAGTGTATTTGAAAGCTTCTAAAAAAAACCTGAAACATGAACAAATCTAAAGAATTAAGTGGCCTTGGGGACATGCTGACCCCTCCTCACTAAACTATCTCGTGTTGAAAGCCCAATACAGTAGTAACTATTCCATATGTATTCTTATGTATGCATGCTATAAATACTGTCAGGACTCTCTGGAGAGGTTTGTTTCTCACCTGCCTGGTAGAACTAAAAAAAAAAAAAAAGCCAAACTATGACTATATAATAAAACCTAAAATGCTAGATTGCCTTGTTTCCTATTGAGAAACACTAGCAATTTCAGCTTTTCTCTGAAACTATGTATGCATGTGTATATTCATAGTGTGCAATAGTTTCTAATGACTCATTGTGAATGTGAAAATGGTGCTTTAAAACCTTATTTTAATAGCAGATTTAGTCTTTTTATGAAGATCTGTTTTTCTTTAATTTGTCCTAAGCAAGTATTTTAATTACATGGGGAAAGTAAGTTGTTAAATGATAACCCAGGAGAAATGCTTTATTTTGTAGAGTCTCTTTAGAAGATCTGTATAATGGAAAGACAACTAAACTACAACTTAGCAAGAATGTCCTTTGTAGTGCGTGTAATGGGTAAGTTTGTTTATATATTTGAGTTCTCTGGTTGCTGCTTTGGCATACCGTGTAATGAAGAATCTCCTATGTCAGATCTTTATCAGTATTTGACTTACTGGAGCCTGCTCTCAGACTAGAAAATTGTTGAACTTGAATGATACTATTGATGGACCTGGAACTGTTCAAGGGCTTTGGGAGGGAAGGGAGGAGGAGAGGATGTAATTATAATTGGTAGTGCAATTAGGCATGTTAACCTACAGATGTAGGGGTTTTTTTGTCATATGTTTCTGAGAAACTTTTCATGCAACTGGTGCTTTCTATTCTAGGCAGGGAGGGAAGGCTGGAGCTGTTCAGAAATGTAATGCTTGCCGGGGTAGAGGTGTACGTATCATGATCAGACAGCTGGCTCCTGGAATGGTTCAGCAGTTTTTATGTGCTAACAAACCCTTTTAGGAGAAACACTAAATGTGTTCATAAACTTCTATCAATATATGAAGGTTTTTGGAGTGTGATAGTGTATTTGAAAGCTTCTAAAAAAAACCTGAAACATGAACAAATCTAAAGAATTAAGTGGCCTTGGGGACATGCTGACCCCTCCTCACTAAACTATCTCGTGTTGAAAGCCCAATACAGTAGTAACTATTCCATATGTATTCTTATGTATGCATGCTATAAATACTGTCAGGACTCTCTGGAGAGGTTTGTTTCTCACCTGCCTGGTAGAACTAAAAAAAAAAAAAAAGCCAAACTATGACTATATAATAAAACCTAAAATGCTAGATTGCCTTGTTTCCTATTGAGAAACACTAGCAATTTCAGCTTTTCTCTGAAACTATGTATGCATGTGTATATTCATAGTGTGCAATAGTTTCTAATGACTCATTGTGAATGTGAAAATGGTGCTTTAAAACCTTATTTTAATAGCAGATTTAGTCTTTTTATGAAGATCTGTTTTTCTTTAATTTGTCCTAAGCAAGTATTTTAATTACATGGGGAAAGTAAGTTGTTAAATGATAACCCAGGAGAAATGCTTTATTTTGTAGAGTCTCTTTAGAAGATCTGTATAATGGAAAGACAACTAAACTACAACTTAGCAAGAATGTCCTTTGTAGTGCGTGTAATGGGTAAGTTTGTTTATATATTTGAGTTCTCTGGTTGCTGCTTTGGCATACCGTGTAATGAAGAATCTCCTATGTCAGATCTTTATCAGTATTTGACTTACTGGAGCCTGCTCTCAGACTAGAAAATTGTTGAACTTGAATGATACTATTGATGGACCTGGAACTGTTCAAGGGCTTTGGGAGGGAAGGGAGGAGGAGAGGATGTAATTATAATTGGTAGTGCAATTAGGCATGTTAACCTACAGATGTAGGGGTTTTTTTGTCATATGTTTCTGAGAAACTTTTCATGCAACTGGTGCTTTCTATTCTAGGCAGGGAGGGAAGGCTGGAGCTGTTCAGAAATGTAATGCTTGCCGGGGTAGAGGTGTACGTATCATGATCAGACAGC